ACCATAATCTTGGTTTAATACCCTAAAAGTGACCGCCTCTTTCATATATCATATTCCTGGAAAAGTTAAGACATTCAGATCAGTTTCCTGAAAACTGGTTAACTAAACTCAATCAAGTCGCCAGCAAGTAATGGACGGTAACTCATTAGTGTCACTTTGTGTTAATTTGTTTCGGAGATGACCACTAATCTATAGTATTTTCATAGAAATATAATATATACTGACAATGTCTAGAACATGCCCATCCGTATTGAGTGATGAATCATTTGTTTGATGAAAGAGCTTAGCTGAAGTTGAGCAAAGAAATCCTCCATTGGTGTAGTACGTATGCGTTACAAAGATGTAGTACTATGAATGAATTCAAAACACCAGCATCATGATTAGGGTCAATTTTAGCACAGGAGACAGTGAAAGTAACAGTTTTTACTGTCGCTGGTTTTATGAGCGTGGCTTGCATACCAAGTTGCTGGAATATCCTCGGGGGTTGTCACTTGTTCTCCTTATGAAACAATATTTTATTCGACTATTCCATTCTGTCCTTGAGGTTCCAATTCTCTATTTGTCTGAGATAAAGGCAAGTGTTATGTCCTTCATTATGCATTCCTTTTGAAATCCTCTCAATTATACAATCGTTTGGGATCCATATAACAAGATAGCACATATCCCTGTTTGTTATATGCAGCCCACCCTGAATTTGGTCATAATAAATATGATTTTCATTCACGTTGATGATCCCTTCGTCATAATAGATAATATATGATTTGTCATTTGATAATGCTTTTTTCAAATCATTCTCTTTGCGATATTTGAAAGAGCACTTCACTTCAGTCAGGCACTTCTCACTTACATATCCATCAGGAAACCACATTCATCTAGATGAAATCCTGCAGATTCAACAATAAGTCCAGTAAAGAATATTACTGGAATTTTTTCCCAACATCAAATTGTTATTTTTAACACCTCAACACGTGTTTCGATCACCAAGTGATCATCTTCAAAGAGGCAGATTGAAACTGAGTTTTAATCTTCCTCTTTGAAGATGATTTGGTGTTGGGAAAAAACTCCAGTAATATTCATCACTACACCAAAGGTTCCAAACAGTGCAGCATAAGTGAATAAGTCCAGTAATTTATTGTAATTTATCTATACCACATTTTTCATTATCCCTGCCCCACTGAATTGCCTACACACCTCTTAAATCATATCCCTCCAGTAAACTTTTAAACAATGATTTTGGATATTTATTTCTTCTACAAGCAGACAAAACAACACCAAATTTACTGCTTGTTATCCTGTGCTTACGTGCAATCAACCAGTTTTCATTGTTCCCCTGTCCTATTGTTGGTTGGTGTACCAACAGTACTATGGCCTTGGTTACACCACATTTCTCGATAAAAAATTCTTCTTTATTCGAGGCATTTGCATATTCTTCCGAAAAGATAACATCTTCAATGCTTGGATTGGAGAGAATCTTTTCTGAAAGAGTAGACATTAGCCACCAAGAAAATCCAGTAGGATTTGAATCTCCCAATTCTTTCTTGAATAGATCAAGTTTGTTCTCATTTGCTGGTCTTTGAACAGCTGTGTAATTTGTTTTTTTAGGCTGGTAGATGTCTTTTGTCTTCGTAATGACATCAACTTCATCTTGTATGTTTGGGTTGTTCTACACACATGCCTTATCAGTTACACTGATGTTATGATGAACATATATGCAAAGGGCTGCCTTATGGGGACATGCAGCTAGACCTCTTGGACAAGAGCATTTACTGTCTACTATGCCATCATCAAAATCAATTGAGATCTGAAATACAAATTTTTGATAATCATTCAAAGTTTTACCATTTATTTAATATCAAGGACATACCTCCACTGTATAGTTTCTCATACTTGCTCTAACTTCGCCTTTCAATAAAGCTGGTACAACGTCACTATCAAAACAACATTCCCACTTTCGTAAGAATTTTCACCTCTGCAGCTGTGATGAATCATTTTTGAAAAATTCTGCCATCACAGAAAATTATATAACATGCTTGGATGNTATGGAATATTTTGCACACATATAACCAGTAACAAAATGTTTTCTTTCGACAATAATAGTATTTTATCACTTCAACACTGGTTACCCAGTGGTTGATCAGTGGCGTAATTTCACAGCTGCTGCAGTCAAGCGATAAAATTTATTGTAGTTTGAGAAAAAAATTAGGTTTCTTGGGAAAGAAAGTGTTTAGTTTTTTATTACTCTATGTGTGAATCTTCCAAAGAAAGGGAGGAAGTTATGAATTTTAAAAGAAGTAACCCTATACATAGATGTGTAGATCATGCAAAGAAGTACCTTTCTGACACAAACTGGAAGATAAAGCCCTCCCTAAATAGCTACTTTCATATAAACATTGAATTATACGAAAGAAAAATTCTTTCGAAACAAATACTTTTATATGAACCGTGAATTATACAAAGTTGGAGAAAGGTAAGGCTACGTTTATCTAGTTATTGTAAATATCAGTTAAACTTCTCGTGTCACATCGATTGTTAACATATTGACGATCTTTTTTTATATAAGACATTTTTTTCTGATAATCTTAATATTTCGAAAATCAAAGTGATGGGCATTTTCAAGCGAATGTTTGGCTGAAGCAGAAGCATCAGGATTCTTATTTTTTACACTATTCTTGTGTTTGAGCAAACGGGCTTTTAAATAGTTTTTTGTTTGTATGCCCATATACTTATCGGATTTTCCGATATGGGCAATGGGTTTGAGATGTAGGAGGGGTACTGTCATGTCGATTCATTGTGGTTCCACAACTGCCAGAAGGTATTTGCTCGCAGTATGAATAGTTTAATATTTTGAATTTACTGACCCCTTACATGATGAAATTTCTTCTTCAGTTGAACTGAACTACTTTGAGTGAACATATGGTTGATTTAACTATTATATACCTTAACTAGTACCTAATCTGTGAACAAAATTTACAAAACGCATTATTCTGGGTCGTTTGTCTGCTTCAACCAATGAGAAATTTGTCCTGAGAAAAATTGACTTTCTGATCAAGAAAAATATTTTAGTTTTTTAGCGCTCAGCAGTGACACTTNTACTTTCGTATTGAATCTATCACTATTGGATATTTGTATCACGTGTTTTATCCAATCACAATCTATTACTTCTATCCAACTTGCGGTGAGCAAACCCCCGCCGATAACTCCATCTAAAGAAATAGTATTTGGTTTTGTCGAAACAAAACATTTTCTCATAGATTTATTTGCCACAAATACTAACAAATCATCCATATTTTCAGCCATACCTATCCCATATCATCGGTCTGTTCGATATACACCGGTGTCAGACAAAAACAGTTTGATGAAATCAATCGATGAAAGACGACGAATAGAGGAACAACCGGATTGAATTCCGATTCGATAGGTGAATTAATGAAAAAAGGAACATGAGTGGAAATATTGAGTGGCAACCCTGTTTGACAGTCCATCATGAATCATGCTTAATGCGCCTGAATAAAAGACATAGCCAAAAACAGAGAAATAAACACTTTCCAAATAAAATTGAATTTTCACTTGAGAATGATTAACACTGTTTCATATTGAGTTTTACTAGTTCGGACTTCCATTATCTAATAATTCTATGATTTTAAATATCTGAAAGAACAAATACACTTTCAATTATAATAAGCAGGAAAACATGAAATGAAATAACAATAAACTAAAAATAAGCAAAAATTTTGAAATGAAATTGAAAGATTTCAAACAGAGTCTCTTCACGACGATTGTTAGTATCCCCAACAGTCTTCCGGTGATGACTGTTGTTCTAATTTATTGTGTTGGCTTTTGTATGGTTGCAATCCTGATTTAGTTACTCTCCCTGACATATGTCATAAGTTAGAGTAGTTGTAGATGTATCGCTCATGTTTTAATTCATCCATATTTTGTCTTGTTTATTTAACAAGAAATATATTAATATTGTGCAATTGGTGTTGATGTTTATTGACCTCTCAGCGGACGCTGCGTTGTGTAAACCANAGGAATTCTGACACAGAGCTAATAGGATTTGCTGATTCGGATTGGGCAAGTGATGAAATGGACAGAAAGTCAGATACAGGAAACTGCTTTAAGGTATTTGGAAATCTAGTATGCTGGTGTACTAAAAAACAGTCTATGGTGCATTGAGTTCTTCCCGAAGCAGAATGTGTAGCATTAACTGAAGCTATTCGAGAAGGTTTATGGTTGATGAATTTGTTGAAAGAATTTGGCTGTCAGAAATCTGGTTTCACCATTTTTGAGGATAATCAATCTTGCATTAAGTTAACTAAAAGTTTTGAACACAAAAGATTGAAACACATAGATGTAAAATTCCACTTTGTTAGAGATTTAGTACATGATAAAATTGTCTCAATAGAATATATTAATACAAAAGAATCATTGAACAATTTGATAAATTGAAATGTATGTTAGGTTTGAAATGATACATATGTGTATATAAATTATTTGCCAAGTATATTTATAGGAAATTTCGATTGAGGAGGTGTGTTATTCTAATTTATTGTTCCGTGCAATCGAAGTTGGCTTTTTAATTATTTGTATGGTTGCAATCCTGATTTAGTTACTCTCTCTGAGAGTAGTAGTTGTAGATGTGTCCCTCATGTTTTAATTCCTCCATATTTTGTCTTGTTTATTTAACAAGAAATATATTAATATTGTGCAATTGGTGTTGATGTTTATTGACCTCTCAGCGAACGTTGGGTTGTGTAAACCAACTCTGCTCAAAAATGACTGGACTATTCCTCAAAGAGATGACTTTCAATTTGTTGCTTACTTCTATTCTATTGTAACTTCATTTCACGTTTTACTGCTTATTATAATTGATATTGTTAGCTATTCATTTCAATTCAATTCTAATATGATTTAAAATTTCTGAAAGAAATTTCATATCAGAATAGATGATAGAAGTCCGATCTAGTAAAATTGTATTGGTTCATTAATTTCAAAATTATTCGGCAGTATAACATGAATCCATCAAAACATATGATTTATACCATTTTTTAGCTTACAAAAGAGTAAAAAGTTAATGTTTCACTCAAGTAACAAGAACATTAATAGCAGAATATTTTTCTACCAAATGGAGTAATGGTTAATGTGCATGACGATTTTTCATTCCAACTCATTCAACCTTGCCTATCAATAATTAAAAAATGGATCCTCGAAATTGTATTGCACTTATCTAGTAAATCAATAGTATCACTGGGTTATCACTTCAGAATACTGTTCACTTGATGGACACAAAACATGTTTTGTTAAAAAAAAAAACAAGTTACAGGGTATTGTCTTGAGAAAATCTGAAAGTTAATTTCTTTGGAAAGTATGGCGTCACCCTCAGCATTTCTGGAAAGATGCAATCAAAGAAAACAGGTATGAATATCTCATGTTTTTTATTGATTTATTCATAACTTTAGCTGTGTAGAATTTCTTTCCTTGAGTTTTTCATTCTGAGCAATGATTTCTCTACAGGTGGCAAGAGATGGTAAAGTATCATTATCAATGTATTCTTTTAAAAATGTCTGGGCCACAGATATTTCAGACACATTCCAGTGGGTTCTTTTGATTTTGTGGGATGATCCTAGAAAAGTAAACAATTTATCATCTTCTGAAGTAAACATTTATGGTCCTTTCCAAGCAAAAGCAGAATCCAACACAACACCTAAGAAAAAATAAAACAAAAACAAAATAAAACGAAAACAAAATAAAACAATATTTTTGCACAATGGAGTAAGGAAGAATATTTAAAATAAATATCAAAGTACAAAATGAATAAACTGGGTAAAATTATCGATTTTGATTTTCATCTTCAATACATATTTGAGAAAAAGTTCGTCCATACTGCATCAAAAGCTGAATAAATGTATAAATATACCGCAAGACACTTTTTTCCACTTCACAAATTGATTATTGATCCACAGTTTGATCTGAGAAGGGCTTT